GCACACATGCAGACTAAATGCAAAGACTCACATTCTGTGCTTCGCACATGGGACTCAAAAACATGATTTGAATTTACCTGTTTTGAAATATCTATGCCCAACAAAACATATAAATAATCCAACGATACCAAAGACAGTGACGATAACCAGTAGTGTTGGATCAGCTGTGCTCAAAATAAAAACATATACATGGGGTTGTGAGAAACAAAACTAACAATATTTAGACTATTGACATTATGAGATTGGATAACAATAAAATATATGTTATTTGAATTAAAATATCCATGTGTATCATCTGGTACAATGCAAGTTTTACCCACTATAAATAATTACTCAAGCCTTTTTAGATGGCTAACAAAATGGTGCCCCTATAAGGCTAAGAAGTTAAATATTTTTTTATTATTTTCTATTTTAGCGCTTCCATTTTGCTACTATCGTAATTTTCTTTTTCTGAGTCAATATCCAAATGAGGAAATATTATACAGTAAAGATTATTATTATTATTATAAAAATATTTTTAAATTAATGCATTAAAAATAATATCATTAAATATAAAGATATTTTAATATATTAAAAATAAGTTGACAAAACCAAATACTGTAAAATGACTAATTTTCACTGGGTTTAAATTTCACTGATTTACCATTTCAGGCATATTCAATGGGTTTTAAATTCACGGTTTCGTCATTTAGATAATGTATTCTATGCTAAATGTTACATATTCACTGTGTTTTAATTTAGCGCATTTTTCCAGTCAGCGAAATAAGCTAAATTAAAACCCAGTGAACAATTACCCCATTTACAGTAATTCATAGTCATAATTCAAGGCTTGATGTGATAATAAGATATGTAATGGATATGATCGTAACTATGGTGAGCCTATATTTGTTTCACATTTTTTAGTGATTAAACCGAATGGAACTCTACCTAAGTTATAACATTTGCACTTATTCAAATATTTCAACATATTTTTAGCAACCTCTAACAAATTGATACCTGATAAACATAAACAATCAGAACATCAGTCAATTGATTGTATTCTACAAATTTTCCCATGATGCAATGTGCGAAACTCAGAAAAAATGTTTCAAAGACGTGCATGTTTGTATTCAAGGTATTGAGAATTACAACTTGAAAATGAAAGTTCCATAATGTAATATATTTTTGTATAACCCAGAATAACAGAAACTTTCTATTACCTGCGACATAACAGCTGTCTACCCTGGCAGTAAAACTACATGCGTATGACGTTGTTGGTATATAAGCAGCACTGGTGAGTTCGATCGGATCTCTCACAATGACATTAAATACAACGCCTTGACCTCGGAATGAAGAAACCGTGAAATTTGTCTTCTTACTCTGATCTAAGGTTGCAATCTGATAAAAACCATAAAAACAACCTTTACTGCTTACAACATTATGTTATACCGACAACAATCTGACCTCTGTTTCATTTACAAGAAGCATTAATAATTTTATGCATAACTGAGTTATTAGCCTAAAAAAACCTGTCAACGAACAAGTTTCTCTCTGATTGGATTGATTTGAAGTATTAGGGTGGGGGCAGCCAATCAGGGACAATCTTGTAGCTTTGCAGTGACTACCTAGCTTACTGTTAAAACTACCATTTCAATGCAGTATGCTGACCTTTGCACCATGTTTTCTAATTCTATCAACTGTGGTCATTTTCTGCAAACCATCAAACATGTACTCTTCATCAAGTTTGTGTTCTGGTAGAAAATACTGATACACATCATACATAAGTCGTAACCGTGGTGACCTGGTTGTGTCACATGATGGCTGAGCATCGTCCCTTGGCCATCCGATGTTAGCTGGTGCAAACTGCAGTACTGTCTCGTATATGTTGTAGTGAACATGAATATTGGGATCGTTTAGTAAATTCCCTTCAAAATTACATGCACCTGGTATGGGATCTAAAAAAACAGAAAGATTTATAATTATTTATTAATCATTTTAGAGAAACAATCAGCTATTATCATCAATCTGTTGGTGTAAACTATGGTCTGCAAAATGTAATACTTTTTGCTTTTAAAGTGCCTTTAATTGTTGCATTGCATTACATTCATACATGTTTATAATGTATTTGAAATTCATTGTTAAAATTACATGAGAGTGGTATTTTCATAATTATCAATATAAGGTCGAATTTTCATATAATACATTGTAACATCATCATAATATATTAATATATTTGTTCATGATAATTTATTATTGTTTTTTTTTTTGAAAAAATGTTAAACTGAAAGGTTATGAGAAGTGATTTTTGCTTTTTTGCTCAGTGAGTTTCACTTCATGACTTACCCGTATCTTTATACAACAAAGCCATAGCCTGTGCTCTGATTGTCTCATTGTATGTGGAGTTCACATACCACACAGACATATTCTGTTCCTCGTGCAGTTCTGTAATTAGTCCTACATCAGATCCATTCATAGCAAAATCCAATGTCGGTGTCAATACTGACGAAGCTGACAAATTTTGATACTGAGTGTGGATTTGAAAAACCGCCACAGTGTTACTAAAGTCGGTGATGTTCTCCAGAACAAACTCCAGTCTGGCTTTTTTTGGAATAACGATGTCTTTAAAACTACCAACTTGCATGTGAACTGTGTGGTTTTCTAATCTGTGTAATTCTAGAAGAACAGGTAACAGTCATCATTATTTCATTCAAAAAATTGAATGTGTATGCCATGATAGAATGCCACGTGTAAATCGATGTGTAACTTTTTAAATCTTAAAAAAATGTCAAGAGATCCTTTTACTGTTCTACAGAAGACACAAGCTCAAAACTTATCCGTAACAAATTTTCTAGTCATAATCAATACTTCATATAATGTCCCCATCTCCTGAACTACTGAGGTAAGATTGATTCATCGATGTACACCACATTTGACCATGCTTAGACCGATATTGACACAAGAGTCAGTCTATCCAGTTGGAACTGCCTACTACTAGTAGTGTTCCAACAACGTGAATGGGACAAATGAAAGGGACGTCTAGTTAAAACAAAATCAAGTAGATTATTAAGCTTGGAGACGCGGATGTAATTATATTTTAGAACGTTGTGTTAGTATTTGAAAAATGGCAAATTGTCCGTGTTGACCACCGGTGATTTGCGTAAACTATCCCACATGAGGATGACAGTGCACCAGTGAAAGGACAACTCAGGTCAACAGATTTGCAAGATATCATGCGTTTTATTTCAGTTTGAAAAAAAAAGAAAGAAATGGCACTTACCGTTGCAACTAACATGTAAACAGCTTATTATCAAGAACGCCATGAACGTGTACACACTAATATCCATTCTACACATGACAAATCCGTCCCCTTACCCGGAACACTGCCATAAAATAACTTGAAGTCTCCAGTCATATGACTCTCAGTGTTTACTTCCGGTTATGAATAAGGTATTAAACCCTTTAACTCAATGTTAATTTACACTTTCGTAAGTTTTTTTTCTTTTTCTACCTCTTCTGTTCTCACCTTAACTCTAAGTTTCATGACATGTAACCAAAAATAAAATGAATAAAAAAAGGGATAATTATCTTTGTGAAAATTCAAAAGACTTACTGAAAATAACCAGAACGTTAAGGGTGCTTTATGGTCAAGCGGAAAGTGAATGTGATGATTTGCTCTTTTGCAGATGAGAGAGAATTTAATAAAAACTTCACCAAATATTTCTAAAAATGGGCAAAAGTTTAATCATAATGATTGGATGAGTATGCCAAACGTCCCAGTGGACAATCAGCACGATATACAAGGAAAGGAGCCAAGACAAGAACATGCAAAAAACGCCGGCCGGGAGATGAACCACCCCGAATCTTCATCGAAAAAACAGAGGATAAACCCAGAAAAAAGAAACCAACTTGACAAAATGCCGGTACGTTTGTAATTCAAGTTGAATATGGTATGGTATATCTATGTTATCGTGTCAAACGTTTCACATATATTATACAATTTTCCTTTATTTTCTGTGCTTAAAATGGTTGTACGTCTACTTTATTCGTCCATGAGACCGTGACCTGAGGCTCCCATCTCTATCGCTACGTAACGTTCAGATAAATTCGTTGTTGGCCTCAGGTGTCACTCCCCGGGTTATTGAACAGTGTTCACAAACCGCGTCAAATATAAATCCCGTGAAAAATGTGTATTACTGGTATGTGAGATTTCCACAGTTGTGATTGTTAATTTACTTAAAGCACTATGTTGCCTGGCAACTGGATTAGTTCACCACATTGTAGTGAACGTGTAGTGTACAGCAGTGTAGTATAGTTGACTAATTTATTTCATGCTTATTTTCAAAAAAAATAAATTGTTTTATGATGCAGTAAAAGTTTTGTTATGAATTGTGTCACCTTAATCACAGTGATGTATTTATGCAATAAAATTTGTTAAAAGCATAATTATTCTACCACAACAGTAGCGCAGTATATATGACACTATCATATTTTGATGTAAAAAAATAAATCAGTGCAGTATACAGCATGCATGCACAATTGATACGGCCAGATTTCTATGTCATATTTCCCACTTAAGGTAGCGAGACTATTATTTGTGTTGAAAATTTTCACATTTATTTATTAATTGATGAAATGCACTATAAACTTTCATGTGATAAAGTCAACATAACATAGAATGTCATGTAAGTTGGTTAAAATGTAGATTTTCTGAAGGGAAGCAAGGCAGCCTCAGTAGTGTTTTCCAAAATCAACAACACAGGTTTAATCTGTGTGCCTATAATATATATAAGTTTCAAAGATAAACTCAAGATAAAGCAATGTTAGGATGTGTTATCAGTAGCTATCTGACACACAATGAGTGTTTCCAAACATTTGAGTGGTTTGTCTCCGCCCCTGTTTGTTTCACAGATTAGTCACTTGCATATGAATGTGTCAGACACAAGGTCACACAGCCACTGAAAAAAAATCATTGATTATGGTGTTTTCATATGCCGAATTTATCCAATTATAGCTATCCCATTCCTTTATTTTTTTGGTTTCCAATAGCCTTACACATTTGGATGTCCTTACACATGTTAAAACAGACCTTGACGGGAAAACAAATTGATTGTGCCGATAAACATGCTTGAAAATCTTTGCTGTTACTTCATGGATGTTTTCTAGGAGTTTGTTTTTCAAAATACAAAATAACGTATACTTATTGTCGTCTGATTAACACTAAATTTTCACAGCTTTGAGGTGACAGTGAGAGGAACTTGAATGTGTCCAGACAAACTATTTCATCGATTATTTACCAACGAGTTGTGGTTTGAGTTGGGGGCAATGCGACTAAAACAGTAAATGAAATTCAGCACACTGTTTTTTTAAAACGTGTTGCTTGAATAAAACTGACCAGACACATTCAATTTACCAGACTATTGAACAACTAGGAAAAGTGAAAAAAAATACTTCTTATCGCCAGCATAAATGCGTAATTATTTTTCTTACAGAAAAAGTAATTTTTCACCTTTGATTGAGTAACGTGTCGTAGAATGCAGATACAGGCATGCAAAATACACTTGTGAATAGCTTGAAGTCTGGCGATTCTAAAAATATATACTTTCCTGGGTCTATTTGTAGTCATTTAGTCACAATTAGAAAATGAAAACAAGTTTGCAAATAATAGTCCCGCTACCTTAATGATCATTACAATCACTGGCGGAATCATTCAATTATTTTTGTGAGCTGCCAGCAACTCGGTTATTTCTCTCATTCATTGAACTTGGATGAACAAGCCAGAGATAGGAAGTATGATGAGCTGGTTTAAATAGTGCAGATGGACCAATAATGTGCATTTCACTGAATAGACATAGAGATTAATACTAAAAGCAACAACACCTTATTCAAATTTGAAGGTTGTCACAATATGCCATTTCCTAGTACAAGTTTTTGTAGTAATGTGTCATCAACATGTCATACAAAAATATAAAATGCCTGTGTGATAATTACTAACAATTCTTGTGTTTTCACATAGAAATCAGAGAAAGATAGTAAGAATGTGAATAAAGGAACTACTCATAAAAACAAAACACCACCCTGGACAAAAACAGAATCAGGATCTCCGCAAGAAATATGTGGTCGGAAATTACAAAGCCTTGAAGTTGAAGATTTGGGCATGGATGAAGTAGATTACAGTGGAACAATAACCGCTGATCCAAATCTTGGACAAGACCCTACTGCAGATACAAGGAGTGTGTGGAGTGAAATCTCTTACTACATGGTGAAGGACTTTCGTTACTACTTCCAGCATCCTTATTTTCGTATCTTCATCGCTTACTTTGTGGTCTTCTGTAACTTCCTGATCTTTGCTGAGGATCCAGTTGCTCATAGCCGCAAAAAATGCAATATTCCAGTTGTTGGAAATTGCTATGTATTTATTATAGAGTTATACCCACCTAATACTTGGTCCATTGCCAAAATTGCTCTGTGGATCTTGGCTATATTTACTGGTATGATCATTGGAAAGTTGGTTATTCATAGGTTTTTATTTGGTAAGTTTTCAATTTAAGAAACCAGTGCAATTTTGATTATCAGAAACATTACACTGAGATTTTATCTGAGAATTGATAGTCAGGGATGATTGCAAAAATGTCACACCATGCCATGTTTTATGTACAATACATTGTTTGATGAATATGCACTGCACAACAAATGTGACTCCTTGAATAACCATGAAAGGTAGTAATGATATGAAAGATGAGGTTTGATCGACTTTGAAAAATGGTACTACTAATATGAGGTTATTACCACAAAGTAAAGTAGACATGAAGACAGTACAAATCAGAAATATTGTAGGAAATTGATGCGACTGCATATTATCTAAAGGCATTGTTTGTGATATTCTCAGAATAATACATCTTTCCAATATATCCATTCATAGTATGAAGCCCAGAACTGAGCAAGATGGTGGAAATTAGAGATCATTTCCCAATTATGAACTTTATTTTTAAACATTCAACCATCTTTGAAATATCGCATAATCGCATCATTCAATATTTGGAATTATCATTTCCTAATAAGGTAGGATGCAGATACCATACCCCTGTGCTATACCACACAATTACAACATGCTGTAAATTTTAGAGATTCCTGACAGATGTATATACATGTACCGGTGATACTAACAGAAAGTACACGTATGGTGTAATACATGACAATTTTCTGGAACCAGATCCGGCTCTGATAAACATGTACACTGTTGAAAAAAGCTTTTACTTGTTAACATATTGTTACTAATAATAATAACTTTATTACACAACCAAAACCATAAGGGGGTTTAATATGGTAAAAATAACAAATAACAAAAGACTAAAATGATAAAACTAACTAAATAAAAGTAAAACATTAATAGGACAAAATAGAAAAAATAAAGTATAAAATACTAAAACTGACATTGCATAAATAATACATTGGTTCTCTCATGGATGCGTATTTACATAATTAAGTATTTACATTGAATAATGTATATACTTAATTATGTAAAATAAATAACAGAAAACCCCTAATTGAATTCACTACGTTCAATTACCCACCATAGACTACCGGTCAGTCAAAATGACTATTTTGAACTGTAGGCATTAATCAGCGATTCTGCCGATGACGGAGAGATAGAATCTAGGTCAGGGGAAGCCCCATGACCCCAAGATTCTCTTTCCCTTACATCACGAACCACGTGACTGAAGCCATATGGCAGTGCCATAGTCGGCTGTACAATCACTCTTTCTTTCATCTCCGCCTCGTCTGGAATGATCATTGGTCGGAAATGCGAGTCGAAACACCACCACTTCTGGACTTACTGGACCTGCCGTCCCAGCCAGACGGCGCACTACCAATGAGCCCAGCGGGTATCACTTACACGCATAGAGGCTCTCATTAGACCAATGCAGCCTACATTTCTAGGCCTCGAGCATACACTGATTGGTGTAGCGGAAGGGAGATTGATCCATACCATCCATACCATTGGCCAAGTAGCAGGCTCCTTCGTCCACCTGTTTGACGAAGTGGGTTTTCCCCACGCAGCGATTGTTGGCTACAGGTCGGCCTTGTCACCCCCATTGAGAACGTACGGGAACAAGACTAGCCGATTGTCCTATTATTAGGAGACTATTTAATGCTTTCCAGACGCCAAGACCCATACAAGGGAACCGCCTAACTCGGACTTGTTGGCTGTGTTGTCCGCTCTAAGCAGACCGCCCTTTGAGCTTCTCTGATCAGTACCACTCAAATTTTTCGACGTGGAAAATAGTCTTTTCTACTGGCCCTTGCCTAAGGTAGGCATCGACAAGAGCTGGGGGCATTGTCCTTCTCGGATGATGTACCGCCGTTATGGACAATCAAGTTGTGCGAAAGACACAAATCGGGTTTCTCGCCTAGAACCAAATCCCAGGACACGATCCTCACCTGATTGTCATCCCCCGGCTGTCAAATTTTGTCTGCCCGGAGGGTCAGGAGGAATTGCTTCTCTGTCCGGTTCGAGCACGGAGTTACTACCAAACCGTACTATGGGTTCAGGACGGGTGCCAGGCACATGTCTTTGTGTTACGGCCCAGGCAGGCAGGATAGGCCGGCCTCCCCAACTTCCATAACCAGGTGGTTTGCTGTGACTGTATTAGAGGTCTATAATACTTTAACTTCCTACACACAGAGCTTGCAGAGACACCAAGTACGAGCGCATGAGGTCTGTGCGATTGCCAACTCACTAGTGCTAGCGTAAGGTGCCCCCCTTGAGTATACACGGAGGGCAGGCTTCTGGAGAAAGCAGAACGTCTTTATCAACTACCACATAACAGACACCGTATCCGTTGAGGAAGGTCTCTTTAGGTTGGGTCCCGTCATAGCAGGTCAGTCTTGGTTTGCTGACCCAGCCCGAATGACCACAAGGGTCCCTGCGCATAGGCAATATAAAGTCAGTCTCGGCATTTTATGCGGACAGATTTCTCTACCGTCAGCACTCCCCTGAAAGCTCCCAGGTCCCACTTTGCGGCTTATGCCCTCATGCAGAACTATTTCGGTCTTTACTTCGAAAGCTTACTACCCCCAGAATTGGGTTGGGGGTCTAGCTTTCTCGGGCACACCAAACCCTGTCACCGTAGCAGCATTTTGGCTTCTTGCTCCAGGGACAGCACAGGCAAGGTAAGATACCACCCTTTTTTGGGCCTTAACCAGGGTGTTGAGTGATTATTGTATTTCATCCTGGACTGGGAAAAGACTTTCATCATTTTTCTGTTTGCATGGAAAACACGCCACCTATCGGCGTCTGACTCTGCCTACAGTTCAAAATAGTCATTTTGTCTGACCGGAGTCTATGGTGGGTATGAACTATGTGAATAGGCGGGTTCAGAGAACCCTCTGCCTAATTTTCCATAATGCTAATGTTTGGTTAGACATCACTAATATTTTTTGAGCCAAACAACCTGTAGCTCAGTTAATCACAAACAATCCATAGATTATTCATGTGGTCACAAGCAATGAGGTTACACAAACCAGCTCAATGGTACAGTACTTGAATTCCAGTCCAAATCAAAACATGACCACAACTTAATCACTTAACATAATAACATGCATGTTAGATTTCCAAATCTCATTTTGAAGCAAAGTCAGCAAATGCACTTGGGACCATGCTTTTGGAAATATCCCAGCTGATGAGAGCCGAAGCTCTCAGCCTGATCACATGCATGTCAAATAAAAGCATAATGACATGTATAACAAATATTTTCATTTGACCCAAATTCCAGTCATAAAGGTTTTTTTTAGTAAAAAAAAATTACTGACATGAATTAACTTGATCCATTGTAAACTTTCTGCTACAAAATGATTTTGTACAGTCTGATCTTTCCCACATGAAATGTTGATAACCAATGTTTTAGTAACCATTTTACAAAATGTGAAAATAGTTTTGAGCATGAAAAATATCTGGCAGTCAAAGGGTTAATAACATTGTTCATTTGGAACAAAATAATTGTACATGCAGTATTTGCTCTATTAAATTAATAGAACACTCTCTTATGTATATGACACAGGTGTGTCTATGACCAAACTAAGTCATATTTTAATAAAGTTCCAGTGTACTTTACAATGAATACAGTTTTTGGTTCGAGTATACTTTTAATGGAGCAAATATGGAAACTGTTCAATATATAATATTTAAGTTTCTGGCTTAGAGATTGATGCCGACTGAGGTTGACCTGCCAATCTAATTTATATGGCATGTATACTATATAAATATAATAATTCTGTAGATTTTGAATATCATTAATTATATTAGTTGTGTAGTTTAGTTTAGTTCTCACTGAAATAATACATTAATTCATTTTCTGTCACTTCACAGCTCTCTCTGTTGATGAATTGATTAAACCTACAAATTTTATGTACATCAAATACAGTACTGTGGAATACTTTATTTTTGCTGGAATTAATTTTCGCTGAAAAGGCTTTTTTGGCGTTTTGTATGGAATTTATTTTCACTGATTTTTGATGAGTTTAATGTGAAATATAGGAAAAAAAGTATATTCGCTGGATTTTATTTTCACGGAATCATCCCTTCAGTGAAAATAGCGAAAATAAATTCCAAGCGAAAATAAAGTATTCTACAGTATTTTAGCAAAAACAAAACATGCATCATCACCCACATTCTTCAGTAACAATTTTAATAACTAGAAACATTTTTTTGCAGGCCTTTTTAAAAAAATATTCTATGGTCTAAATTTGTTCTAAATTACAATGCATGTAATTCAAAACAAGGGCATATATTCATACCATTTAATGTCGAGACATCATAACCTACATGTGTAATTCATTCATTCACTTTCAATACTCTCGTTTTAAGAAACAAGTTGAATTAAAGTATTAAATCTTAAATTCATTCATCTACATAATTTCAATTCCATTCATTCAGCATTCATGTACACTGAATAACTTAATCTTAAATCCATTGAATCTTAATGAAATCCATCCAGTCAGTAAAGCATACATGACTTCAATCTGAATTTCAACACTTCAATTTAGACCAAGAAAAACAAATTCCTTGTTTCTCGTTTCCGCCTGCCTGCCAAAAAACATGTGCCTAGAACAAGTTGAGCATAATGTGCTGTGAAAATGCCTCATTTCAATCATAATTTTAATGTTTGTCTTGTGTTAGTTGCATCCATCATTTGTCCTAAAACTGTCCTAAGAAATTTGTATATATTTTTTTTTTGCTTTTGATTCAGGCCGGTTTATGCGGTTGCGTATGTTTCGCAATGACCAAGGATCCTGGATGGTGATGTTTTTATCTGTAATTGTATTGCTGTTTTTATTTTCCATCTTACTGAATATATTGTACCTTGCTGGTGGAGATGCACTTCTGCCTTACAAGGTGACAGGTCTGATGGGAATTGAGAACCAAACCTTCATGAAAGCTGCTGCTGTGGCACATGGATGGGAGATTTTGTCACTGCTTGGATGGTAAGTTTAAAGAACACAGTTTCCAGTAATGAAAATAGAATACTGAGTAGGCTGATAA